CCCTTGCCGCACCTTCCATCTATACCATACCACACATCCCACTTCCTCATTTCCTTCCGCCCGCCCTGTCTCGCCACCTTCCCAGAACCTTCTTGTGGTGAGGGAGCAGCAGACGCAGTTCCGATTTGGTGGCACAACGTATCTGGGATTCGAGTGCCTCACGCTCTTTCCAATCCAGGTACCTCTCTTCCTCCTCCCTCTACCTTCCCCTCTCCTATCTGGTTCCGTAATCTGGAGTTTAGGTTCCTTTCTTTTAATTATCTGGCAGTTGAGTGCGGTCCATCTGATTGCCGTGCATCTGAGTCGTGATGACATGGAATTGGTTCCCAACCATCTCACAAAACGTGAGGCGCCTCAAAACTCAAAAGCTGATGCACCAGCTGGCTCTGAACGGTCATAGCAGCCAGGTTACACATCACGTACGTACCCCCTTCATCCCTCCCGTTTCATCCCTCCGTTTCATCCCTCCCATTTCATCCCTCCCGTTTCATCCCTCCCATTTCATCCCTCCCGTTTCATCCCTCCCATTTCATCCCTCCCGTTTCATCCCTCCCATTTCATCCCTCCCGTTTCATCCCTCCCATTTCATCCCTCCCGTTTCATCCCTCCCATTTCATCCCTCCCGTTTCATCCCTCCCGTTTCATCCCTCCCGTTTCATCCCTCCCGTTTCATCCCTCCCGTTTCATCCCTCCCGTTTCATCCCTCCCGTTTCATCCCTCCCGTTTCATCCCTCCCGTTTCATCCCACCCCATCCCCACGGCCTCAGAAAAAGCTAGTGAGTGTGGAGCTATTGAGCAACGCAGCGGTCTAATGGATCAACGACTACCAAGTCGACTCACATGCTCCCTTCACCCCCCTCCCCCCTCCCCTTCCCATGGCCGCAGACGAAGCTAGTGAGTGTGGAGCTGCTGAGCAACGCAGAGGTGAAGTGGATTAACGACTATCACCAGCGCGTGTGGGACACTGTGAGTGTGGGATGCTGGGAGTGTGGGGTGCTGTGAGTGTGGGGTGCTGGGAATGTGGGATGCTGGGAGTGTGGGGTGCTGTGAGTGTGGGATGCTGGGAATGTGGGATGCTGGGAGTGTGGGGTGCTGTGCGTGTGGGTGGCACACCAAGTGTGGAACACTGAGTGTGGGTGGGGCACTGAGTGGGAGTGAGGTGAGCGCACAGCAGCTTGAATCACCTCACCCAACCAAGCAGTATGCATCTACCTCAGTGTGGCAACCAAGCAGTATGCATCTACCTCAGTGTGGCAACCACATCCATCAGAAGCTCCCGTGCACTGCTGTGGTGATCAGGCGCCTCAACTCACCTCATCACCTCCACTTTTTCCCTGGCCCCATCGACTCCAGGTCTCCCCTTTGCTATCAGGGGCACCCCTGCAGTGGTTACAGCGCAACACTCAGCCCATCTCGCGAAACCAGGCCCCACAGAAACCTGCAGCGGCTAGAGGGGCAAAAGCAGGAGCCAAAGGAGGAGCTAAGGCAGCAGCCAAGGCGGCTGCAGCCAGCTAACTGCAGCCCATAGGTGTAGGCTATTCTTGCACAAGAGGGTGTACAACAAATGCCTGTGTTGTTCCAGCTACCAGAACTTGTGCAGATATTTTAAAAGTCTCAGTACCACTTCAAGCTCAAATGCAGTTGCTCTTGTGAATTCTACGGTACCGTAAAGCTGTAAACCAGTGTTTTTTAGCTGATTTCGGGGGTGGGGGCCTGACCACAGCATCCCATCCAGCCACACCTTGTGGGGGTGGGGGCCTGACCACAGCACCCCATCCAGCCACACCTTGTGGTTGGCGCCCCTGGCTCCTTGACCAGCAACAAAGCTCGCAGCTGCTGCAGCAGTTGGAGTACAAACGTTCTGACATGTCTGATATCGGTAAGCTGGGAAGAGAATTCACTGCAAAGGAGCTTCAGGAGGATGTGAGGGCACGGTTGAAATGGACTGTGATACCCAGCAGTAGCATCTGTCACAGCTCCTTTCTGCTCGACAGTCACCAGTACGGGCAAGAGACCGTGTTAAAAGGGTCAAAGAGTTTCATAATATATCAATGTACACGAGTATCGACTTCGATACCTAGTATACAAGGAAGCTCTACAAAATCAGCCCACCAAATCAAAGCCAACCGATTTTTCTGGGAGGGTGCGCGCGTCTAGTTGAGGGGGCTCCCTGGGGAAGTCCTCGATGGGGCTCAGCTGCTTGGCGACCGGTGGTACTCCGTTTGCGCGCAGCTCCACGGACAGCAACTGAGCTCGACTCGTACAGCCGGGGATGTGCCGTCAAGGAACCCAGCGCCCTCCTGGCTGTCGGCTGAGATCGGACGGTGCAGGTTCGCGATCAGGCGCTGGAAGTCGGCGGCGCGAGATGCGGCGTGGTCGGGGCGGTTACGTCTTGGCCCGAGCACGCCCGTGCACGTCGTCGGTGTGCTCCAGCTCCACAATCCCCCACGTTGATGTGCGCCTCGGCCTCGCTGGGCGTCTGCAGCTTGGGGTTGGCCACGCGCAGGCGCAGTCGAGCGCCACGAGCCCGTCGATGGTGAGCGTTGTAGTAGTCCACGTCATACGGGCCCTCCTTCTCCAGCGCCCCGCCGCATCGCAGAGTCAGCCCGCCCCTCGGTCGTCACCTCGTCGCCCACGTGCATCCTCGGGATCTCCTCGCCGTCGATCTCCGATCGTCTTCATGAACCCATCACCACGCTCCTGCTGCTTGCCATGAGCGCGCCGCGAGCCGCACCTTGTGGTCGGCGCCGTTGGCGAACCAGATGATGCCGAGCTCCTTGATCCACGTGTGCACGGCCTTGCCGTCCACAACGAGCGCCGCGTTCTCCGTGTCGTCCGGAGTAGTACCCCGCCGCCTCCAGCAGCATGTTCACGTGCAGGTCCTTGGTCCGTCAGCAGGCAGAAAGCCTTATCGGGGCGCCCGTTTTGAAGTCGAAGTGCGTGCCGTACGCGCCCACCAGATGCGGGTCGTTCACCACGTTCGCCGCGGGGGTTGCACTCGCCGCCCGTGCGCACCTGCAGACTGAACCGGCTTCGAGTCTGTGGCATACTGCGCCGTCATTCGGCCGCACGCACGAGTAGTCGATGTTGTCGTGCACCAGGTAGCACGCGCCGTCCGTCTTCTTGCCGTCGATCGTGATGTCGGGGATGTACTGCCAGTACGTGCAGCTGCGTACCCCCGCGCACGTGTCTGCAGCACGTCTCGCGGGGACGCCTTCTTCAGCGTCAGCGGGTTGCCCTTCACGTTACACCTCCACGCCCAGCTTGTTCTTCAGCAGGTTCGACGTCTTCCACTTGGCGGCGACTGCCGCCCTTGTGCAGCTTTGGCCGGCGTGCACGCGCCCTCCCCGGGCTTGCCCAGGTCCTTGTTGGCACTTCATCTTGTTCCATCCCGCAACCTTCACGTCCACCATCAGAATACTGTCTGTGCTCGGGCTCACGATCGTCGTCCCCTCGAACTTTGTCCAGCCCGCCGGCGGCCGACCGCCTTCTCGATGCCAGGAGGGACCTCGGTTGCCACGCCATTGTCGCCCTTGGCCTTGTCCAGGTGACCGCAGGGTTGTTGGGTCCAGTCACGACGGTTTGTCCTGCGGACGCCACCGCCAGCCAGCACGGCGAATGTTGCGACTAAAAGTAGACGCGCCATGGTTTGAGGCCAATGTCTGTATGGAGCAACAAAATTGTACTACTTCTAGTGAGTTGGTGCGTAAATATGTGTTGGAATGCTCTGGGATGGAGTTGGATTGCTGTGCTGACTACTTGAATTTCTAGTGATGTTGCCTTCGCTGTTTGTACTTCACGTACCCACCCACCACCAAAACCTAGGCGGTCCCCAGTCCCGCTAGATCTGCTTCGCGGTTTGCTTTCAGGTGTCAGGATTTGTTACGAGGCGCGACCACATGGGTTCAGCGAACTGCGACCGCAGGTTGTTACTCAGGAGAGGTTTTCTTATTCCAACCATTTCGGATATGACCTGGATGGAGCTGTTGCGACCGTTTGAAGATTCTGGGCTTCACCAGATGACAATTCAGGTTGCTTCTTTATATGTCCGGTTTTCTTCGATTCGCAGGCTTCAGGCCTGTAAGAGAGTTTCCGCCGCCCCCTGTCCCCTTTCATCCTCTTTCTTCCGTCCATCCTTCTTCCCCCGCCTTCTGCTTTCTCCGAACCCCCATTAGCAGTCGCTGCTCAACAGTGCAGAAGAAACCACAATACAGTCGTGCATTTGACCCTTGGTAATTATAGAACATTCGATTTATTGAAATTCTTGCCAACATCTTAAATCGTGTTCCGTGTCTGAACTCGTCAGCAACCCGGCAAATCAACGTATGCCCTAGTTCGTCCATCCTTTTTCTGTTGCCATAAAACAATTCAGAATTAGTGACCGCACAGTTCAGGATTAGTGCATGGCTCGCTTGCAGAGCATTCCGGGCTCAAGCGTTAAGGAATCAAAGGCCTCTGCATGGAAATCAGGGGCTGGTGCAGGGAGACAGAGGCGAGATGCTGTGTTGTCAAGAGCTCAAGAGATAAAGGTGCGAGCGAATGCAGAGCAATCGTTGAATGCCGGTACCAAAAAACGATTGTAACGGTAAGGCACCATACGTTGGGGTGCTGTTGCTGAGGTTTGGAATTACCAAGGCGCAGTGCTGTGGCACGGGCTATCAGCCAAGGCTGTGCCTCAGGCACCTTCACTTCTCACCAGTGGTAACAACCATAGCAGCTGTAACAACCGTTGTACCTTGCATCTCTCGTAATCATAACAACTACAGCATCTGCAACAACAATATCAGTGCCTGATAGGTGGTGAAGGTGCAATGGTTGTTTGCGGCTGCTATGGTGTGCTGTGCACAGTGCACCCTACGTTCAGCAGAGAAAGTTTGCAGGCACAGCAGCAGAGAGGGCAACAGGAGGGCAGCAGAGCGAGTGGCAGGGGGGCTTCAGTCCTCAAGACACTACCCTGACCCTCTCATACTGTTGCTGCTCCCTTTTCCGAGCCTCCTCCGCAGCCTCGGCCCGGGCCTTGTCCCGGTCGTGAGGGTACGTCCAGTAGAGCCCCCCGTAGAGGACACAGCAGAGAGCAAAGGGCAGAGCCATGGTCCAGAACAGCCCTAGAGAGAGCGCCCTGGCGTTCCCCGGATCAGCCGCAGATGGAGCGGGCGGAGCAAGAGGAGGAGTGGCAGGGGAAGCAGGAGGGGAAGGGGCAGGAGCGGCGGCAGGTGGGGTGGGGGACGGGAGGAGGGGTGGAAGCCGAAAGCAGGCCTGGGCCGAGGAAGCCGACAGTGGGCGGTGCGAAGGCTGCCACAGACATCTCACATGCACGGTCCAGTGCGTAGATGTCTGTTCGCAGGCGCGCCGAGCCACTATTGCCGCGAATATGGGGCTGTAGGTGGGTGTTTAGAGGGGACGGGGGAGTTGGGGAGTGACTTGGAGTTGATTGGAAGGCAGCCAGTGACATCTCACACACGCGCGGGTCGAGAGCGTAGATGTCCTGTTCGCAGGCGCGCCAGCACTATGGCCGCGAATCTGGGACTGCGGACGAGTGGGAGGAGGGTGGTGGAGGTTGTGGAGGAGGGGGAGGGAGTGGGTGCGTGTGGGAGGGTGAGTGCAAATGGGACAAGAGGAAAACTTTGTATGCATCTAGGCCTGCAAAGGGGAACAAGAGGAAGGAGCGTTGGCGGAGAAGGGAGGTCGGAGGAAGAGTTGACTTTTGAGTCGACTCCAAAGTCAACCAAGAGGAAGGCGCGTTGGCGGAGAAGGGAGGTCGGAGGAAGAGTTGACTTTTGAGTCGACTCCAAAGTCACAAGAGGAAGGCGCGTTGACGGAGAAGGGAGGTCGGAGGAAGAGTTGACTTTTGAGTCGACTCCAAGTCAACAAGAGGACAGGCGCGTTGGCGGAGAAGGGAGGTCCGAGAAGAGGGAGAGAGCGACGATGGCTAAGGGGAAGGGTAACACTGAGAAGGAATGATGCATTGTCTTTCACCCATCTCAGTACTACCCCATCCTGGCTCATGACACACCTTTCGTATGCTTTCGTATATGAAGCACTATTGACTTGTACACTGCACTCACTTGTTCGACTGCCGCGTCGTTCCACGAGATCATAAACCCCATCACCACCAGCACCGCAAAATACACCCAGAAAAACCGGGCGTCCTGCGGAACCACCCTCAGCAGCACCGTCGACATCACCACCCGCCGAATCCGGCGCTGATCTGAGCGCAGATCACACGGCCAGAATCGCGCCACGTGGCGTTCATCCAATCGCCGAACCAGCCCGCGAAAAGCCCCCCAAAACTGCAACTAGCAGTGAAAGGACGAGAGGAGGAGTGCGGTGGAGGGGTGGGAGAACCCTACTAGCTCGAGCCACATGGGAAGGAAGGTTAGAGAGGCCCAAGCAAAGGAGCCTACTATGCCTTGACTGACTATGATGAGGAACGAGGGCGTGCGGAGCACGTGTAGGAGGTTTGAGAGGAAGGAAGGGGAGGAGGGAGGAGGAGGGTGGGGTGAGGTGAGTGGGAGAGACGAGTGGGGAGATGAGAGGGGAGACGAGGGAGGTGGAGCGGAGGAGTGGGCCTGTTTGGAGGAGAGATGGGAGGATGGGGAGGGTTGATGAGCCAGCTCCCTGATAGAGGCAGATAGGAGGGAGGTTGATGTGGGGGAGGTGCAACTGCTGGGGGACGGTGGCATGTGAGTGGTGAAGCAGGGGGTGTGTGGGTTGAAGACAAGGGGTTGCTATCACCAGCACGTGAACCGGGCAGCGATTCCCCGTCCGCATTAACAAGCGAGCTTGACACATCCTCGTTATAGAGCTCTTCTTTGCTACAAGATTGCCTCGGAGGGTCTTCAGCGAGAAGGGAGATTAGTGCAGCTAGTATTAGGCTTATGGCAGCAATTGTAAGGAAAGCCAAACCGCCACCCTTCCATCCCAAAGCCAATTAACCAGATAATTGTTCGGGCAGGTAACCCTGCTAGGGTAATTCCGATGCTGTACCCCAGAATATCCCCGAAGTAAGTCATGAACTGCAAACCACCCCGAACGCCATGCCGCGGTTGGTCGGAGACGCCAGGTCAGCAACGAGTGACTGGATCGGGGGGAAGACCAGGGCGAGGCCGATGCCGTTGATCCCGCGCAGCCATGCCACCTGGCTGTATGACGTGGCGAGGGCCCACTGCTAGCGTGGCAAGGCCCCAGATGAGCGCGCCCGTGGCGATGACGTGGACGCGGGGCAGGTAGAGGGAGAGCCATGGTGCGAGTGGGCAGAGCAGTGCTTGCATGAGCGCTCGGACGAGGGTTAGCGCGCCCAGGTCCCTGGGGGATGCATTAAATGCGCGCCCCACCTGCGAAAGGGGGAGGGAACGCAAGGAGCAGAGCAGCTGTGCTTTCATGTGGTGAGAGGGCAGAGCAGCTGTACTTTCATGTGGTGAGAGGGCAGAGCAGCGCCTGCATGAGTACGCGCACTAGGGTTAGTGCGCCCAGATCCCTGGAGTATGCATTGAAGGCGCGTCCCACCTGTGCAAGGGGGGGAGGGGGGAATGGGGGGAGGGGAGAAAGGCGAATGAAGAGCAGCGGAGGGCAGAGAAGTGCTTGCATGAATGCGCGGACGAGGGTTTGCGCGCCCAGGTCCCTGGGGGGGTGTGGAAGGCGCGCCCCACCTGCGAAGGGGGGGAGGGGGGAATGGGGGGAGGAAGGAATTGAGTGCGGAGGGAGGGATGTGAAGGGATAAGAAGAGTTTGGAGGGATACAAAGGGATGCGGAAGAAAGAGAAGGGAGATAGAGGATTCTGAAGGATAAATGAGGAGTGGGTTGGGACGAGAAGAGGATGAGCGGGGAGGCTCCGAAGGGGGCTGCGAGGGGGCCTCCAACGGGGGCTGATACGAAAGCTTCAGATTTGAGTTCGAAGCATCAGAAATCTCTAGGGATTTGAAAATTCCGAATTCGATGTTACGACGTTGCGACACTCAGCGAGAGGTAGACGCGTCATCGTGCATGGTGGAGAACGGCGAGCCATTGTGTCGCTACTAACGACGCGAAGTTCTAGAAGAGACTACCTCGTTGTACACGGCCGGCAGCAGTGACTTGTTGCGTTACTAGCAACTCTTTACTAGCAACGCGACGTTCTATGAGAGGAAATCACGGTATGCTATATACCTCGTTGTACACGGCCGGCAGCAGCGACTCGTCAGCCCTCTCCACGATCGCGGCGACGTTGACGAGGACGAGCGTGCGCAGTCGCACGTCGCTCCACCATCGCGCGCTCATGCTCTCTCACTCCTCCTGTCAAGCTAAACAGTTGGCTAGGCTGCGGTTACTCTCCCGGACATATCATGATGACTCCGAGTGAATCTAGACGGGTCGCTCTTTAGGGTGCTAACACCACATCCGTATCATAGTATTTCCCTATGCTGCCTGCCTAAGTATGGCCTACACGCGAACGACGCGAGGCGCAGGACAGAGTTTAGGCCTGCGAAAGATCTGCAGGAGCGTGCGAATGTGTCGAAATGTCTGTTGGATTTCCCCAAATTTCACTACATGCAGTTTCGAAATAAGTAAAAACGTAACACTTTCACATTTTATTCCACACTATTGCTTTCGCAATAGTATATAGATTTCTACAAGCAAAGCTTCACCGAACTGCCGTGTTTCCCGCTAGTCCCTCCCCATCTGCCGGAGCGCCAACTCGTTCGCACGGATGCTTTCTTGCACCAATCGCAGCAGCTCCTTCGAGCTCCGCCCGGCCAGTAAGTCCACCGAGTCGCACGCCATCGCAGCGGGCGAGAACGACACAGGCGACCCCTGCGACGCCGGCGAAGCCGCAGAAGGTCCACCTGTCCACCTGCGCGACGTCGCCTCGCTGCTCACCTCAGCCGGGCTCCCTCCGAATCCCGAACCCCACCGCTTACGGCTGTCGCTCAGAGCATTCAGCTCTTTTAATTGGCGCAACATAAGCGCGCGCGTCTGGGACGGCGCAGGCATTGTCCGTGGGTGTACAGCGCAAGCTTTGGCCGCGATCGGTGCCGCCATTGCAGCCTTCGTGAACTCCGAAAGCATTTGCGGAAAAACGCAGTCGTGTCGGGAATCGACGATGCAGGTTGAAGCTTTGGTTGGATCAACGGCACAGCGACCGCGACTCCTGGGCTCGAGGCTCGCACAACCCTCTCGATCAGCTCAAGCTGGTTCGGATCAATTGGCGGGCAGACGACGCTCGTCGTCACCTGTGACGTGTCCTGTCGCGAATTACGCAGCGATTCTTTGTCCGTTTGCCGATCATCACGTGCCACGGGTACTAGATATGCGCGTGTAGCTTCCACGCTTGTCGAGATCGTCGCGGCGCTCGAGCCCTGCCTCTCAAGCGTCATGTGCGCTGCACTTGTACCAGCGATAGCTTTACTTGATACCCCCACCACATTTTCCGTTGGTCCTCGACCGTTGGGCCTTTCTCCGCCATCCGAAGTCGCCGCGTTGCATTCGCCTCGTTCTCCGTCGCTTCGCGCGGCGCACTCGGGCCAGATCACATCAAGCAGCCGGTTCGTCTCCTCGTCGAAATCGCCCAATTCCCCCAAATCGGCCAAGTCGGCTAAAGCGGTCGTGTCATTGCGCGACTGAAAGTCGTCTGACGGCGCAATCCCACGAAGCACATCGTTTCCAAAAGCTGTATTAGGACCACCGACCGCACGCGAGCTCTGGCTTTGGCTAGGGCTGGTCGGCCCGGGCCTCCGGATCTTACTGAAAACGGGTGCACAAATACCGCGGACGGTAGCTTCGTTGCGCGCGACAGGGTTGGAGTTTGTTAGCTCGTCCAATGCCGCCATCACGTCAGCGGGCATCCGAAGACGGTCAGCATGGCAAAACGCGTCGAGATGGTCGCCGGGAAAAGTTCCTACTCGCTGGCGTTTCGTTTCTGAATTAACCATGTCGAGTCGCTGGCGCTTCGACTGAAAGAAGGGGGTGGCTGGGCACGGGAAGAAGCGCGGCGCGGAGAGAGGCGCGACGTCGACGGAGCTCGACGCGTAGGAGATGGAGTCGTTGGCGGGAAGTAGGCCTGATGCTCCCTGCGTGTCGTTAGAGAAGGCGGGAAATGACGAGACGTTCCAGAGCGGCATTGCGCCTCTGAGTGGCGTGATGATATGATGTATAGTCGATAGCTCAAGCAGTCTGCGAGGAGTTCGCGTTGTGACTGAAGGAAAGCATAGCATTTACGAGTGAGAAGCTGCTCTGGTCACTGGTGGTTTGTGGAGCGCTTTTGTATGAGTATAAGCTGAACGGCAGTCGAGTGTGAGTGTGAGCTCATGGCAGCTGTGTCTGGAAAAGTTGACGCGTCGGCCAGGGTGGAGTGGAAGGAGGGAGGGAGTTTTCGCAGCAAAGCGACAGCTGCACATGGCGAGATTCACCGCTGGCGAAATCTCCGACCCTTCTCAAGATCAAACATGTGACATCCTCGTTGTTGCCTTCGATCGATGTGACGTGAAACTCCGTATAAAATCAGAAATTCACTTGCAGCGTTTCAAAGCATCCCTGCAATGTCATGCTTTTGTCTCGGTGCGGGCTGCTTCCTGACTGGCTTCGCTGGTCTCAGCAGCCCTGTGACGCTCGCTCACGAGTGTGTGACTTTAACGAGCGTGAGCGTGTGTGTACCTGGCCCTGCTTAGCTGCGAAGGTTACAGGTGATGACGAAAGCAGCTGTGGTAAGAGTCCAAAGGTCGAAGGGGCTTCCTGGGCCTGCACCAACGACTCTGGGCAGCAATACATTCACTTGCAGCCAAACCTGGATGCAGGTTCGGGTTGTACACGTGTTCGAGATCAGCGTCGTTCTGTTGTTGAGAACGTGGAGATGAAACGGGACAGTGGACAAGGTTTTGGTACAGCTGGAAGAAATGCAACGTCATAGCTGGAGACCAGATGGATGGGACCATTCGGGTAGGACCTGCAACTGGATTCTGTTTGGGAGATTTCAACTATGTCATTCGAGATGTCACTTGACATACTCGTTCGCTGTCTCGCAGCCTGCGAACGAAGCGAATCTGCCCACATGGTGGGGAGGAGCAGATCATCACCGAAGCACATGGATGCAATGTGAGCACCTTGTGTGAACAGTGGCACGCGGTGGAGAGCACATGCGGGTGAGAAGAGACAAGCCATGAGAATCGACACAAGGGTAAAATGATCCGCTACAAATGCATTCGTAAAAGATTCCTTACTACATGGTTTGACAACTGACAGAAATAAAGGCTTATGGAAAAGACATGCACTCTAAGTTTTGGTGGCTTGCTGCTTATGTATTTTACTTTCAACGTTATGATACAATATGGAAGATCAATAAATGATGACATAATGAGGCAGTTCTGTGATCAAATACCAGAATAAGATAGTATTATCTTACCGGTACAACATAAAACGGGCCGTGGTCTCGTCCATTTTCCCGTTTTTGCGCCTTTCCCCTAGTTAGCTATCCTACGTCGTAGTGTGTTCGTATAAAGACGCAAAGCAGGACCACCTGAGCACCAAGCACACGGAGGAATTCGGATGTGCAGTACCGTCATCATAGCCTCGTCGTCGTGCGGTCGGCAGTGTGCGATACAAGTTTAGTAACAGAACCATGGCGGGACCGCATTCGCGGGCCAGTAGCTCCCCGTTCGCGACACACCAGCGCTCCTTCCTTCTCCACTCAACCACGCAGACTCGCCTCGCGATCATCGCCGCGCTGCTAGTCGTCTCCTTCTTTCTCGTCCTCCCTCAATCCACTCGCGAGCTTCTTTTCACACCGGCACCTCACCAGAATCCCTCTCCCCTTCCGCGTTTCCGGGTCGCGAGGCTCCAAATGCCACGCCAGCCATGAATTTCCACGAGGACGCTGACGTGGAGCACGTCACCCGGTCGCCTCTGGTCCCGCTGACGGTGCTTGCTGACCTGGATGATGACGGGGCAGTGTGCTTAGATGGCTCGCCGCCGGCCATCCATCTCTCCCCCGGATGGGGTCGCGGTGCGAACAACTGGCTGATATATCTCGAGGTAGGACGCACCGAGTCAACGCAGGTCAACGCAGGTCAAACGCTATCAATGCAGGTCAACGCAGGTCAAACGCTATCAATGCAGGTCAACGCAGGTCAAACGCTATCAATGCAGGTCAATTAATATCATTGCTCGTCCACGTCATTGTCCACCCTCAATGCCGTCACGTGCATGTATTGCTACAGAGCAGAGGGTCTTCTTGAGCCGTCACAGCATGTGCCAATGTGGCATTCACTTGCTATTGTCACATGCGTGTATTGTGACAGGGCGGGGGGTGGTGTAACAGCGAGGAGGAGTGTGCGCATCGCGCCGCCACCCATCTGGGCTCGTCCAAGCGCATGGGGGGACTCATGGCCTTCGGAGGCATTCTCTCTCATGACCCCACAGTCAACCCTGGTGCGTTGAAGGTCAATCCTGGTGCGTTGAAAGTCAACCCTGGTGCGTTGAAAGTCAACCCTGGTGCGTTGAGAGTCAACCCTGGTGCGTTGAAAGTCAACCCTGGTGCGTTGAAAGTCAACCCTGGTGCGTTGAATGTAGACCCTGATGCGGCGTCTAAATCGTCTTGAAGGCACCCATCTTGTTTCGTCCAAGCGCTTGGGGGGACTCATGGCCTTGGGGAGGATCCCCCCTCATAGCATGACTCCACATTCAACCCCGGTGCGTTGAAAGTCAAGGGTTGACTGTAGAGTGCAAAACGAATCAATGCTGGTGCGCTCAATAGAAGTCATCCTGGGGGTGATTTGGCGAGGCGAGTATGATGCACTGGCGAGGTATCACAATCGAAGTGTATGATGCACTGGACTAGAACCGAGCCACAATCATTCTTCCACACCCCGCACCACACCAAGATGTTGTTCCTGTTTAAGCAGCAGGAATGCCCAGGCACAGGTATTTTACCCTTTACACTATTGCTCTTCCTCTTGCTCTTCTTCCATTGCCCCTCCTCCATTGTCCCTCTGCCATTGCTCCTCCGCCATTCCATCTTCCTCTCCTCCACTTTTCAACAGGCTTCTACAATTGGAACCTGGTCTTCGTTCGTTATTGTGACGGTGCCTCATACCTGGGTGACACAAACGAGCCAGTCCAGACAAACAATGGTCTCGTCTTTTTCCGGGGGAGGCGCATCTTCGACGCCGTAACCCGGTACCTCGTGTCCCACCACGGCATGGGGGCGGCATCCCTTGTTTTATTATCCGGCTGCTCTGCTGGCGGTCTCGCATCCTTGCAGCACTGTGATAGGCTGGCGGAGATTC